TACAGAATAGAGCCGTTAGTATATACATATCATGATACAAATATTTTATGTTTTTATCATGATACATATGTAGATTTTTTATTATTATTTTTTTTTTATATGCTTATCTCAAAAGCGCATGCGCTAATTTCGCCGCCGCTTCTATTCCTTTCTCGTATACAAATTAGCTTTAATTTTCGTTATATCTATTGATACTCATTTCCATAATTGTGTTCATAAAAATAGTGATGCTCAACTTGTCATTACATTTATTTGCACTTCATGCTAAAAATAAACAAGATAAATATATAACATTATAAATTAAATTTTAAACTAATCACTTGTTTGTGAAAAAAAACTTTCTGCTGGTATATTATACATTTTCTTAAGGCTGAGTTTAAAATTAAACTTTTCGATACGTACCGAAATTTTAGGCGTATATTGGTTTTCGCATTGCGAGTTTGAATGGTGTTGACTCCTCTTACAATTTCTATGCCCATTCCACTTCTATTATCTTCTGATCTGTGTTCTCGTCACAGTTTTAAAGTTGGTGATGTGTTTCTACTGCAGTAGACAACTCATAAGTTAGAACCACATTGTTTCTGGTGCATTTTAAATTACTACCGAGTTCGATTTATCGAATAAAAATGAGAAGAAGTGGAGAAAATTTTGAAAAGTTTTAATAAAGGCATTCCATTTTTACTAGACGTTCTAATACGCGGATGAATGAGTGAGGCTTTAAAAAATCTTAAATTGTAAATACATAGGTGACTTCTGCAGAATAACACTCCAAATATTTTAGATCAGCCAGTAAGTTCGTTAGGAATAATTTCCCTGAAGAATTTACGTGGAATCTTGTCTCAACAAGATCTAAAAGGAGAATTGGCAGTTTTATTCCATGGGGAGTTTGAGAACCGCGTAAGGGAGAAATAGTGAACAATGGACCACAATCTAAGTCTTAATGTTAATCCTAATCGTAATCATAATATTTATCTTATTCTTAATTTTAAATTTAATCTTCAAACCAAATACTTAATCTCAATATTAATCTTGATCTTAATCTTAATCTCAATCTCAGTCTTAATGTTAAATTTCATCTTCACTAATCTCAATCTCACCGTCAGTTCAATCGTAATCTTAATCTTCATCTTAATCTCAATCTCTCTCTCTCATGCACTATCTCACCCTCAGTCTTAATCTTAAGCTTTCCCAACGATCCTCGCCATTCCCTCCCCACATTCGTTTTTCATTTGATTGGAGTTTGGAATTAGAGCCCAACGTTCGTGTGGCTTTTTTGTTCCATCGATGTTTGCATTTATATACACAAAATCGAGCGCAAAAAATGTTCACTTCGAAAAACATATACGGCTTTTTAATTGAGAAACCCGCGGTTTAAGGTCGCTACCTATCATGGATGGACACATCCAGGCGAGCACACTAAAGTGGTATACAGATGTCTGTAAAACCCGTGAGGGGATTGGAGTTGGCGTTTACGGCCCCAAGTATTTTTCAAGCGGAGTCTATGCCATCAGTGTGTGTGCTGAGGTCATCCCGGGATGCGATAGAAACTTTGTAATCTTTCTGAATACTTGTTTTCTTAAATTAAATATACTTTTAAACTTTCACGAATAAAATATTCATGTTCTATTATGTTCATTCAAATCAATGCAGTATCTTGGCAGTATATAGTTTGCTTACATGAGGCGATTTTTCAGCCAACTTTTAGTTGAAAGCAACAATCGGCTGGTGTAACCGGCCTTTCGACTAATCGCTTTCAAAGAAGTTGGTCAGCAGCCAACTTTTGCCTCAACTAATCGCCTCTAAAATTGCTTGTAAAATCGCCGGATGTAAACACCGTATTATTGTAATTTAATGTAATAGTTGTTTAGTAGTTTTCAGTGGTGGTCAAAACATATGTACGGAACTACATAAACATTTCTAAAATTCTATCTACATACCTATATCTTATCAATGGCTTGTTTGCGAAATACTGGTTCTATAGCTTTTAAAGAATGATACTTAGCTCACTACACTTTAAAATGTTCAAAAATTACTATTCGCTTAAAACATCTTCACACTTATACTATTGAACCTGAAACAAGCATGCTCAAAACCTATGCAACTCGACGTGTTTTTCGAATCTAGCGAGAAAATCGCCGCTTTTGAAGTTTATTTCTTATAGTTTATAAAACTAATGAACAACGTCTCTATTTTGTAGCCAGTTTTCTCGCTTCGTTTACCAATAAATAAATTGTGTTACTATTTCAGGAAGGATCTAATATTCAAAAAATATAATTTTTTCATTAAAATGCAGACGGTCAAAAAATTGCTTTTTACTACTTCGTCGGACATTAGTTAAAAACTTCAGTTCCGAGTTGTTCCGAAAAATAGAAACTGACTACTGTTAAAGCCTCCTTACAAGCATGGATCCAAAACTTCACGCAAAAAGTAAAAATTGACAAATTTATATATTTATATATTTGACGCCAAAAACAGAAGCTTTATAAGAAGACTAGTACCTAATTAAAGGACTACAAATGCGCTACTGCATAAAACGGCCTAGGTTCGAAAAGAGCGAGGTGTGTGACAATGTTTTTCTGCTTCGGGAGGGAACCTATTCCATAGAATTTCCTGTATAATGGAGCAATGTATTTCTAAAGAATATTTGGAAGTTTATATAATTTCCTGCGGTGAAGAATATATACCCTTTCTTTACCTTTACCAATACGGTAACAATTTCGAGCACGTTAAGGCTAGTGAAGTCATGTTGAACTTTTAAAAAGGAGAAAATGTTAAAGTCGTCTGCTCAAATATCACATTTCAATCCAATTAGAGAGCTTTTGGAAGTTGCAAGCCAAATGATCTCCTGCGAAAACTCCATTAAATCTACAGAGAATTGGATGACGCATGGATAGCTATTCCTTTGAGCCTGCCTTTTTGAGATATTGGTTGCAGTTGCATATGTTTTAATAACAATTACACATGTAAATGAAAATGATGAAGGTGCAAGGATATTGAAACTCCCACTGACGCCATTATTTTTCAGTGTTATTTGTTTTTTTTCAAGCGCGGCAATAGTTTTTCCATTCCACTTCCTATTTGCTGCAAATCCTAATCAATAAAGTTTATTCATTTTTGTTAGCCTATTGCATTGCAAAAGTGTTGCTATTATTATGAACACAAAAACAAAATTATATACTCTTATATTAATACGTATTTTTCTTTTTGCCTATCTATTTCAATACATTTGTGTACTTAATACCGATGTATGTATGTATGTTTGAATTTTTCTAATCAAACATTAAGCTCATATACATACATATTACATATCTACATACATACATATATGCTCCATGTGTAAAAGGGGAACGATCCTGTTTGCGCTAAAATACATTGTGGTTGTGGTGTAACCAACTCCAGGGCGTATGTAACTGGAAAACATTTTCAATATTCGTAAATAAAATCATACCAAAAAAGAAAAAGATTAAAAAAAAACAACAACACACAAAATATGAATCAAAGTTTCATGCATTAAAAATTAAATTATCAAGTAACTGTTTAGATAAAATTTTTATTTATAAATATGTACATACATATAGTAAATGTCATGTGGCAACGCTCTCTTCATAATGGGGTATTCCGTTTCTGTTTTCTTGTTCTCGTTTTTGTCTTAATTCACGTCGTTTCCGAATGCCAAAAACCGATCCATGCTTCGTAATCTACGCCTTGACGCATAAATATGTGCATATATATCAATCCATACATATATATATATATATATATATACTACAGTCGGCATGGTGAAACAACCAACGTCGGAACAATCGGAATTCACCATGTCGAATGAAGATTTCCCTGCGTTACCGGGCACTCAAATCTCCGACGGTACAACGAATTCGGGCATCACGGAGAACAATTTGGACGGTGCGGAGAAGGCGATGAACTCAATTGTGGGCGGCAGTGGGTTAGGTGCCGTTGGGAGTGGCGTTGGCGTTAGCGGTAGTAGTGGTGGCGGCAGTAGTGGTAGAGGAATCGACCATCAGCACGATAATTCCAGCAATGATAAACTTGTGAAAAGCGGAGTGCAAACTTCACCTGATGGTAAATTTTTCTAAAGCGTTTCTCATATTTTGGTTTTTTTGTTTGCTTTTGTACTCGCAATTGTTTAAGTTTTCGCAAAACAAAAAACGCACTCACGCACACAAACATTTGCTAAACAAAATCGAAAATATTTCAATTGTGTAAATCTGCAGAAAGAATATGCTAGAGATGGGAATGGTGAGAACGTTGTAATGTAATTTGTTTATTTGTTTTTAGCTTATATTCCTAATAATTAAAGCTAAATTTAAAGGGATCGCATTTATGATTTTTTCAACAAAATATTTTTTTTTTTTAAGTTAGAAACGCCAAGAGGAATTTCCAGTTATTAAGTCCTATTTTCAACAAATTCTCAACAGATGAGTAGTCTTTCCGCTATTTCTAATTTCTTGCACAGCTAATTATTTGTGCAATTGTTCTCTCAGTACTTACTAAAAATACTTTATATTTACGAATATCTAATAGCCTATTTTAAATTTATACCAAAAAGATAAAATAAAACAATTTACTATTTTTTGAGTACCTAGTTAGCTTGTTACAAATGATTCGAGAAAACAATACGAAACCAGCCAATTATGACCCTTAGATATCGATCAGTTTTGTACTTCTTTAACGATAGCAAGTAGAGCGCCATAATATAAATTTTTGTCTACTTCATTAACGATAAGGTAAAAATATATATTTTTTAATCTTTTCGATCCATTTGTCGATAAATTTAAAAAAAAAAAAATATTGGAATCAGATAATGCGCCGCACAGCTCGTTTTCATTACGAAAAAAGGTAGAAGAATTTTTGTTTTTCACTTTCTCGATTTAAGCTAACTATAATTTACATGCATACTTATGTATTCCTTTATTGGGATCCAAGAGTACCGGATTTTTTTTTATTCTCATTTCCCCTCACCCGCGGCAAAGAGGAGAAAATAAAGTTTTAGTCTTATCGATTTAAGTTATCTACATAAATATTAATTTTTATGCTTGTCTCGAGACGCGTTAATCATCAGTTAAATAATGAAATTTAAAGTTAAAGTTTAAAGTAAAAAGTAGTTTCTTATTACTCTTGTGTGCATTATTTTCTATTTAAAGCCAATTTTACATCTAACAGCTTCGTTTCATTATATATTTTACTCAACTTTTTCGACATAAATGTTTAAGATTAGCTCATTCATCGTTGTTTTCCGTTACAATAAATTTTTACTCATTAGTACATTGTGGCTTTTCTCTATTCCCATCTCTACACATCAAAGTACCCACATGCATACGTAGCATACATACTACATACGTACTATAAATGAGACAATTTAATTTGCATTAAAAATTTTATCTTTTACTGATTTTAAATTTTTTTTGCTATACAATTCACATTTAGGCAAGGTCACAAACATCCCAGCGAGTATGGTGAATAACCAATTCGGCATGGTGGGTCTCCTTACATTCATACGAGCGGCGGAATCGGATCCGAATTTGGTGACGTTAGCGTTAGGAAATGATCTTACCGGCCTCGGTCTGAATTTGAATTCACAGGAAAGTTTACATCCTACGTTCGCCGGACCGTTTGCGGATCACCCCTGCAGGTCCGTAGTAATTTAATGTAGTATTTTGTTAAATATAATATTAATTGCATCTGTTTTTTTTTCTCTGCTTGCAGAGTACAAGACGTTGAATGCAACGTGCCAACCGAATATCTGATCAATTATGCGATAAAGGATAAACTTTCTGCACCGTTACTAAATAAGCTGCAAGAAGATCTGCTTTTTTTCTTGTTTTACACGAATATCGGCGACATTTGGCAAATGATGGCCGCAGCGGAACTGTAAGAACATTTTATATAAAAAAAATGAACTGATATGGGTATATTTGTTGCTAGCTGTGTTAACAAAATAAAGGCGGATTCATCTTTCTAGTTCAGAACTTATCTTCTATGTGGTTGTTGCTGTGTTTCTCTATCTAGCAGAGAAACTGAGAAAAGTTCTAAAAGTTCTGAACTTAAACTTTAGCTCACAACTAGAACGATGAATCCGCCTTAAATATTTCAAAAGTTGTATAGCTTCTGAAAAATTTTATATTTGAAAAAATTACATCATGGCTGCAACAACGTTTTCCAGTTTTTTTTTTTTTTTGTTTGGAAACGAGGTACTAGTTTTTCAATACTAATTTTACTGCGGCGAATTTATTAATTTAGCCCAACAAAAATTTTGTTTAAATGGAAAGCCACATGAAAATGCATTGAAAAACTGGCTACAAGCAAATTTTGTGCTGAATATTTATTTCTTCTTTGTACATATTTCTTCCACAGTTATGGCCGCGATTGGAGATTTCACATAGAAGAGAAAATATGGATTACTCGAATTCCTGGTAATAATCAAGGAAAATTCTACTACTTCGATGCGCAAAGTTGGAAACGTATGTCCAAGGATTTCCAAATCGACGCCGAGAAATTAGATAAATGTCCCAATATATCTGCGTTAGTGAACATGAATGGACAGTCTGTATAATATTAATAAAATATACAAAAAACACGAAAAAAATCTAAAAAAAAAATCTTTTTTTGAAAATAAGGCAAAAATCATGATGAAAAATAAAAGGAAATATTAAGAAATTTAAGTTACCGCTAATATTTATTTTAATTTTTTGTTAAATGAAGCCACAGCAATAAGCGTTGCCGCAAATTCCATATAAATAAACTGTTCCCATACATTTACAAGCAAACGCAATAAAATAAAGAACGATTGGGAATGTTTTTGCACTGCGCAAGAGTAGAAATTCAGCTACTGGCCTGCTTCCAAAGGACAATTGATTTGAAAGTTACAAGTTAAATTATTTGCAGCTCAACTGATAATAGCATCTACTCTCCAAAACTTATTTCGATTAGAAAAACTTGTGGTTTTTTCATTCATATTTTTATATATGTATTTCTTTAAGAAATAGTTCATACCTTCCGGATGTTAGCCCGAAGGTTCTAACCGGCTGCCGGTGTTAAAAGTTCTAGTAATTTATTTTGTTGATTTTTCCGCCAGATTAGCAGTATGATGTATTTTCGAACGAGTTTCCCGTCATCCCTTGTCAATTTTGATTTGGGAGAAACTGGTTTCGGTGTTTTTTATTCGTCGTAAGCCTACATGCCTAATGTTTTTTGCGTGATCCGTGATATTTGATCCAGATTTCAAAATATTCAAGTAATTTGAGATCCGTGTCACGATCACTCAATATTTGGGCCTAAACATCAGTAAATATCACGATTCAAATATCCCCATGCATTGATTGAGCGTGTAGCATCCGTTTATTTTCAGAATAATTTTCATGTTGTTTTATTGGCAGTATTGATTTACTAGGTATACATTTGGCCATTTTTCAGATATCAACGCCTGGGTAAAAGATTGCCGTAAGCGTAATTTTGACGATTTTAAGTTCTAAATGCAGTTATATATTTTGAAATAACGTCTTTCGATTGGTGTTATCAGTTTTAAGATATCTCCTTTAGTTTCCGAGATATTGACTACAACTCTTTCGATAATTTAGTAAAAATTTAGTTGGTGATGCAGTCATATTAAACGAATTAATATCTTAAAAATCGCGTTCTCCATTTTTGGATATCTCATTTAGTTTCCGAGATATTGAGTAAAAAGTGTCGTTAATTTGGTAGAAATTTTGATAACATTTTGTCGTGTCTGATACAAAGTGGCTGCCAAATTGTGGACAAATGACGCTTACGACAAAATTTGACTAAAGAAAATCCTTCATAAACTCAAAACTAATTTACAATAAACATTAAAAATTTAATAATTAAAGAATTTTGTGAACTAGTAACATTTTCAGAGACTTTGGAGAAAATCTGTCTTTGCGTTGAAATTGCATTCCAAACTTCTATCGCGATTTCCCACAGCCTGCCGAAATTAGCAGGCGACGAAATGCTTGAGAAAACTGCAAATTAAACTAATTCTTCAACAAGCCTAGTGACTGCCTTTTAGCCGACTTTTATTTTTTATATAACCGATATTTATGCTCAACCAAAAATTACTTACTATGAGGAATCAAATTTGTATGTTGTTTTTCAATCTCCGAGCAAACTAAACAACCGCCATTTAATTTGGCAAACAAAAGCTTGTCTGCATAACACCGACCTTATTTCCATTGTGTGCGCACCTTAAATATTTGACTTTCATTTCTACCAACTATTCACCACTATATGACGCTGTCATCGTTCACAGCTTACGAGTGTCAAATTAATTATTAAAAAAATACAACAGCGCCGGCGCGGTATGTACAATATTCGGTTAAATATTCAGTTTATTTAAATTCTGCGAATAAAATGTCTCAGAATTACTGCGGCAAATAAATAAGCAGCAGCGATGAGTTTATTTCAAGGCGCAGAAAGCATCAAAGTCAACACAAGCCTTGATCGCGCTGCTGAGGAGGAGAGGCTAGCAGATCGAAGGCGTCACGACGAAGAGGTTTGTATGAAAATGTTAGGTAAAACAGCCCATTCTCAATGTGAAAAATACTTATAGTTGGGTGAATTGTTGAAAAATGCGTTTGAGGATTTAGAAGACGATGAGACCACTGTTGACTCAACTACTAACTTTCAATCACATTTGAACGAGGAACATTCACCGCGTCCAACGCATGCACTTCCTCAGCCGCCAATCAATAGTGAGAATGGAATGCATTCTCCATTAGCTACCTACAAGGCAGAGCTGCATCAGCAGAGGATGTTGCTTGAGTCGCGCACACACGAAACTGAACATTTCCAGCAGCTGGCCAGCGAGGAGAAGAAGAAACGGGAAGAATTGCAGAAGCGTTTGTATATCACTGAAGCAGAGTTGGATCGCGCGCTGGCCAGCAAGAAAAGCACACATGAGTTGCTAGTGGAGTGCAAGGAGAAGTGTTCCAACTTGGAAAATAGCATATGTAAGCTGCGCGCCGAGAAGAAGTCACTCGAAGGCGAGCATAATGTGTTGTTGGGAAAGTTCGAAACGACACAGATGCTTTTAGCTGATGTACAGCAGAAGTATGACATGGTAGAGCGGGATTTAGGCAAAAATAGTCAGCGCAATGCTGAGCTGCAACGTAAGCAAATGGAGGAGCGACATCGGGCCGAGTTAGATGTTATGCAACAGCAAATGGAACAATTATCCTGCAAGCTGGATAAGAAAACAAGTGAACTAGAAGGTTTACAGGTGCGCTATCAAGCGCTGCAAAGCAGTCACGAGAGCATGTTGGTGGAGAAAGCTGGCAAAATAAATGATTTGAACCATGCCTTATCCGAAGCGCAAAGAAAATGCGAGGAATTTAGAGCGCGCCAGGATTATCATCAGGTAGGTTTAAGAAGTGATAAACATGTATTAGGGAAATAATCAATTTGATTTACGTTTAGGAAAATATCCGTTTGCAAAAGTTCATAGCCAGCCTACAGGAGCAAATTAAAAGTATGGAAAAAACGATAGCTACCTTAAATGAGCGTTTAGAATTCACCACAGCTGAGCTAGATGTGATGGATAGTGTGCTACATCAACACAATTTGGAGGATACACCACGTCGTCTCAGTCAGACTCAGGGTAAAGTGGTGGGTAGCACACCTTTGACTACCACCGATCGTTTAGGCAATCTCAAGGAAGAACTATATCGCGCGCTGGCGAATATAAAAAACAAACGGGAAGAAATACGTCGCCTGCAGCTTAATCTAGAGGAAAAGACAGCGGAGATTCGCACGCTGCGGGAGGATGAGAACAAAGCGCTGGTTCAAATCACAACACTCAAGGAAGCAAATGTGCGCTTGGAAAACCGCCTAAAGCTGCTTGAACAGGAATACGAGGAATTGCAGCACAAGTCAATTAGTAAGCAGCGAAATGCAAGCCAGCATGCCAGTGTTGAAGCATTGCAACTGCAAATGAAAGCAGAGAAGCAAGCGCTTCAGGAAGAGTGCGCACGGTTGAACGCTGAGTGTAAAAGCCATGAGACTGAACGTAAAAAACTAGATGTGCAATTGCGTAATGTTGAGGTGGATTTAGAGGAGCTAAAACAAGAGCATGAAAGCATGAAAATGAATTATGAGCAAATTATGAAAGAGAATCAGAATTTGCGCAGCCGTACCACTGCCGATAATATGCGGTTAGACTTGGAAAAGCATAAATTTCTACTGAAAGATGCGCAGACCGAATGTGATCGTTTAAAGAATTTATACATTGAGATCTCAAACGCTAAGGAAGCGTTGGGGTACGAAGTAGAAAAATTACGTAACACAGACAACGTGAAAGAGCTGCAGAATCAACGTGAGAAGGTGGCTAACCTACAACGAGCGTTGCAATTGGCAGAGGTAAAATCCTCCGAATTAACCAAAATACTTGAGACTGAGAAAATATGCCATGAACGCGATGTGAAGGAGTTGAAAGAACGTTTTGAGAAAGAGAAAACTGCGAACTTCAAGGCGGGAAAAGCAGATAGCTCCAATAATTGCAGCAAATGTATTGATTACATGTCGGAAATAACGAAAGTAAATACATACTTTGTAGTATATTAAAAAAAAAACTCAATGAGTATAAACATTTTTTAAATTATTTTTCAGTTTGAAATACAAAATCTCAAATTGAATACCATCAACTCCACTAACAAACAAGAAATCGACGATCTCACACAGCAACTGCACGAATCCAAAGCCATAATAGCGGAGCTCAGGGAAAAATTGAAACTCAGCGAACAACAAGAGACACTCATATGCGAGCTGAAAGCCAAGGCTGCACGCTTTGAGGAATATATAAAAAGTCATAGCAGCGCATCTGAACCCAGTCATACGACACCCTCACCACCAAAGCAGATATCTAGTGACGAGAAGGGTGTCAACACTGAGGAAAGCAAGCGCTTGCCTACCACTGAAGTTAAAAAAATTGAATCACGCATACGCGATGAAATGGCTAAGCTTTTTGCTAGCGAAATAAAGCGTTTTCAAATAAAACTACATCAAACTGAAGAGAAAAATATTTCGTTGCAACGTGAATACCAGCTTGCGACAAACGATCTGCAACAACGACAAACCGAAGTGGAACTGTTGAAACAAGCCATACTGGCGGAACGTGAACATGTGGAGGAAATACTAAAGCAGAAGGATGCAGAAGCACATGAAATGATTGAAAAACAAACTGCTATATTACATAAATGCCGAGATGAATTGTTGACAAAAAATCAGAGAGTTGCACAATTATCTAAGGAATTTGAAGAGCGGCAATTGCAAATCGAGGCTGAGCGAAAGTCAATGAAAGCTGTGATGATGCAATGGGAGGAGCAGCGTAAACATGTAGATGCTATTGAGAGTGAATGGAAGGATAAAATACAGACGCTGGAGCGAGCGCACGAGAAAGCTTTGGTAGAATGGAGAAAGAAATACAATTCAGCTAAGCATACTGCGGCAAATTATAAGGTATGTACATACTACCTATTTGTGTATGGGCGATTTGAAAATGTTGAATGGTTTGAAATTAAAATATTGCTTCAGTGCAGTAGTCTCAGAGCTGTCGCGTGCTTTGCAACAGATTATGAGCATCGTCATTATCGTTTAATAGTTATCATGCCTAAAAATCGTATTTAACATTATTCTTTTTCACAGCGCTATGCTGAAGATAAAGAAGCGCATATGCTTCGCGAATATGATCGCCTTAAATCGGAATACGATGCTTCGCTAACCAAAATTGAAGCTCGCATGAAGGAAGCGCTTGAAAAGAAAAATCGTGAGGTAACTTACATACTTCTCTTCAAAGCGAGCTAAGTTTATGTTTACGAAAACACTACTTTTACAGATGAATGATGCTATTTCTGCAATTGAGAAGCGACACGAATTAGGTTATGACAAAGAAAATAGAAAGAAAAACTAAATTGTGCACAAAGACAAGGGGTACGAAAAGCCTATATCGTATGTTTATTAATATTTTTAGTTGCATATATTAATGTGAATCTATCAATTTGTTTTGTTTGTTCTAGATTTTAAAAACTGACTGCAATTTATTTAATTTGCATTTTTATAGAAGGAAATAGAAAGAAAAATAGAGTAATCAACAGTTTATTGAATTCACACAACAATTTCATCGCGACGTTAAACAAAGTGGTAAGCAACAGCTAAACAACTACTAACATATCGTTACCTTAATATAGCAAGGCCCTAGCTCATTTTTTTTTTTTTTGAAGTACAGCATGTACAAGTACAGTATGTTCAAAAGTTTTTCGACTACTCACCACCTTCTATATTAGGGTAACGATATAGTACTTATGTGAATAATACTTATTAAGTTTTTAATTTTAATTTTTGGTTCATTACCGTTTGCCAACATTCGTTTAATTTCTCAAAGCAGTTATGGATTTCTGCTTTTGTAATACCCAATCCGGCGGCCATTGTTAAATAAGCAGTGGAAGTGTCCGAGTGGTGTGTGCCCCAATCTGTAAACATATTTTCAAATTTAATTTTGCGTAAAGAAAGTCCTTTTACTTACTAACAAACTCATGCCCTTCAATTTTGCGGGTATCGCCCACAGTTAAAACGCGCGCACCCGAAATACCGCGCGTATACAACATTGACCCAAATTTGGTTAACTCGCCGCCAACATCTTGCAATTGGCTTAAACTTAGTGCCAGCGAAATTGGGTTGCCTTTTGTTTCCACCACATGCTCCGCATGCTCTTGCGCAAATTTGTGCATGCATTCGCGCAGATATTCAAAATTTGTCTTTCGTTCCTTTACAAAGTTCATATAACCCACACGTCCCAGCGACAATAGCGTCATAAATACATCGAGCGTTTGCGACGATGAAGCGCGTCCCGGATAAGCTTTGGCAACACTGCGTACAAGCTCTTCGTCAAAACCTGCAATGATGGCGCCACCAACGGGAACCAATAAATTTTTATCCGTACTCTGTACAAACAAATCCAGCCGCCCCAACCTCTGCGCTTGCTCTAGCTGATGGGTGAGGTGGGTACTTTGTAAGCCATATGCATTATTAACTAGATGTGGAACTGCATGCTGAGTAGCCAATTTTGCCACTTCAATGATGTCATCACAATTGCGCGGTGCAAAGCAACTGGTTGTTGTACAAAAGCAGAGTATATTCTCGGCCCCTACTTCTTCCACTTTACGCGCGAATGATGGCAAGTCTGTTGAGAGTGCGCCGTTATCTGCAAGTCTCGGCTGGATAATAAGCGGCGTGAGACCCGCTGTAATTATGCTTTTAAAGCATGATTTCTGATCGATGCGTGACCATAGCACATATTTGGCTGCAGGTCGTTTTTGCCGTAGCGTTAGTAGACATAGCAGCAGTGACATGCCAGTGGCAAGTGGCGAAAGGAAGCAGGCACGGCAACTCCGCACTCCCATTTCATGTATGAGATCCAATAATAGGGAGTTTGTTAGATTCGCCATTAGCGTTGAACCAGCCGCTTTTGGTTGTGCTTCTAACAAATCGCCCGACCGCCCTATGCCGTGGCCGAAATTATAATGGCGGCGAGCCACAAGCGCTAAGGAAAAATGATTTTAAATTTTTATTTTGTATAATAGATGTTGATATATATCCACTTACGGCATGCTATGCGAGCTTCGCGTTCGCCCACGCCTGCTTTTTTTGGGAAATTGTTACTATCCAGCGACGCCAGCTGTTGCACCATCTCTTCGATATGTGCATCTGGCCAACCATGCACAGGTAACTTACGCTGGAATATAAATATCTCATGCATTATAAGGCTATTAATACATGAGTTCTTACCTTCTCCAGCAACTCTCGTCGTGCTGTTTCCTTAGCTTTTTGCGCATCTTGTGCTAGTCGTAGATAGTTTTGGGGAACCAGCTTTTCACTGATATGCAAGTTTTTCAAATCCATTGAATATTTTGGTTTATCACACAGTTATGTTATTGGAATGTTGCTAGGAGTGACTTTATTTTACAAATATGTATGTTAAACGTTTCACAGATTATTTGCTCTGGCTAAATACTTTTTATCACATTCAAACACCATCCGTTCCATTGTGCCGTTCTCGTTCTCTGTAGCCCAATTGCAGTTCATTGTTTACATTTGAACAGCTGATCGGTTGGTGACCAGTCGTTTATTTGCTCTTCACATTTGTTGACGTAAAAACGTAATGCCCAACATAATTATATTGGCTTATGAAAAGCTATCTTGGCTTGTATATTGAACAAGAGGCATTGCCATTCAGTATCAGAAATTTTCTCCTTCAGCCAATAAGAAAGAGGTAAAAACTTAGTTTGAAGGAAGTGTGCGACTTCCACAGGGGCTGTCTAAAGGGACAGGGGCGTTAGCTGAGTGGGATTCTCAGGGCATGTGAAGAGGTGCCGGGAGTCATGTGGCGACTCTCCACATGCCGGGCATTGGTTGGCCACATCCTCGTTGATTCTGCTCAGGTAGCTGTTGAGCCTGCTGCAATAGCCAGAGCGAAGTTGGGCTATTGTTGTGCGGGTCTCCCGAGGCAGACAAAGTTCTGTCCCGTCCACGTCCGGTGGTTGTGTGCCTAGAACGTCATTTTTCTAGGCTATCATTCTCTGACGAATCGTTCAACCAGAACTCTATTGTACTAATTAAAATTTTTTTACCACGTTTTTATAAACTCGCTTTCTTTTTTATTTTATTTTAATTTGCACAAATTTACATATATATGTATGTACATATGTATAAGTACACTATTTAGTTTACTCGATTTGTAAACAAAGCTCCTCAGCGGTGAAAAATATACTATTGTGAACAACCTAAACGAGCGAAATTCACAATAGCGCTATTCTACATCGAATGAGCGCCATAATACCAAATGAAAATTCGTTCGATCAGCACTTTCGACCACAGTCGGAGATCGAATGTAACTCATAATAGGGGCTTAACATTCTATACGACGTAAAGTAGTTTTCTAAGTTCATGAGAAGATGGAGACTTTGCGGAATATGTTGCAGCTTTGTACTTTATTGGCAATTGTGGTTGTGTGCACGGAAAAAGAGAGGAGGCCGTTGAAAGCAACCTCAATAGTTTTCGGGTTGTTCGTGCCCCGTAATGGTGTGCCATAAGAATTTCGTCGGGAAGATGGGTTATTAGCGGGTGAGAAAGCAAGTTCCATCGCATCCAGCCGTCTACTTTTGAGCACGTATCCTTAAATGAGCGGGCTGCACAGATAAATGCCCCTTTCTGACATTAACTGTTCCAAACGTCCAAGAAAAGCTCGATATCAGAGAGCTGCAATATCAGTACTTACCTCTCACTCCTTCTTGAAGTACTTCTCTGCGAGTAGTAGAATCATATTTCCCGTTCCAAATATACTCACGCCGAAAATAATTGGTACGACGAGGGATTTAAAGCCGCCGCATAGTATAAAGACGCTGCCTACATATACGCCACGATGCCTGAATTTGTAAAATGGCACTGTCAGAAGAAGCAAGAACTTTTTCGAGTCGTTAATACCAAAAAAGTTTTAGGACAAAGCAACTCTCTATTGTGCGATTTTTTTTTTTATTTATTGCTAGAGAAAACTACTTCGGCCTCAACAACGCAATAGTTTGTTCTGTATTTTCTAAATCCAATATGGAATCAAAGGGAATGTTTCTGGTGGTAAAAGGTAACAAAAAGAAGTAGCACAAAAAGACTGGGGAAAATTCTTTAAATTAGCAGTGAATCGTCTGAAAGCGGCTCTGTCAAGTGTTTCAAACTATCCCGTCCCATTTCTGGACCACAATAAAAATCGGAACCGGTATGGTGGCACAAAGAACTGGGGAAGTTTAGATTAACGAAACGGAAATTCTTCAACAAGGCGAAATGTAGCTGACGTGAGGAAGACTGGAATAAATATAGAATCAGTTTTAGAAAATACAAGAGTAGAATTAGGGGTGCAAAAAAAGAATCCTGGTAAGGGTTCTGTGGAACGCTAGAAAAGACAAATGAGGCTTCGAGGCTCCATAAAATACTGGCTATGTCGTATGCGACTCTTAGCACTATCCTGAAGCCAGATTGCCACCGTACGCACCTAGGGTATGTACACCCACTAATCAGACCAATAGCAATATATGAGTCCTTAAGGCCGGTCCACATAGAACTTTCGTGTTAGCTTTGGCGTTGGC